AATATAGCCAATCCAAGCATCAAACACCATCTACACAATGAAGGTTCTCAAACAGAATATCAATATCTCATTAATACCCAGACCCCCCAAGATTTAGACTATATATTACCATTTTGTTTAGAATTTTGAGAGTCTCCTTGTTTAGTAAGTTTTGAATATGATAAACAGGTTGACATTCGTGAGCCTCAGACATTGGACAGAATGATATAACGAAGTAAGTGCCCACTAATGCATATAGGAATGCCTGGATTGAATACATATTGAGAGCTAAAAAGAGAGAGAAAATAACTGTTAGATATGTACTAAAGCAAATCATTGTTTAACAGTAAAACAATAATAATGAATTTAAAAATTACATTTAAAATACAATACATTTCGATTTATAAAACTGAACTATAAAAGGTCACATTCAACCTGCTACACTGTAAGACCTTAAATTTTTGGGCACGTATCCATTTTTATATTATTTAAGAAGTTCAATTAAATGAATATATATCACAATATATCACAAAACCATAAGTTTAGAATATTTGGGACAGGTTGAAAAAAAAAATAATTAAATTTCAACTGCAATTTTACATTAGGCTAAATGTTGTAATTTAATTGTCAAGACTCTAGCGACTAGCAAAAAATATCACATATACATCATTTTAAATTGTGCACATATTCCGCAATTAGTTTTACTTCTAATAAAATAGAAATAAAATAGAATATATGAAAGTTAGTTAAAAATACAGGCACACACATATATATGTATTTAATCCTAATGAGTCCATTCATTATTAACTAAACTTGTGCGCTTCAATCAGTTCAGCCCAACTCACTGTTTAGTTAATAGACCCCCCAAATAATAAAGATTTTATCTCAAGTGATGCAAGATAGTCGTACAAGCCTGGAAACTTATTTAGCGAGATGTTCTATGTAATCATCATAGAACAATATTAACTATGCATTTAAAATGAGCAATAACTCACTTTAAAGATACAGAGTATTAAATTCTTTAAAACTCCTGTTCACATATACACATTATACATGAAGTCAGGAGGACAGTAACTCACCTGCCAAGATACTGTCTACACAATAAATAGCACTATACAGCCATTCTGCAGAATTTATATGCAGCCTACTGAGCTCTACTGAGATCAGTGACTTTCCTTTTGCCTTGGGGTTTCCCAGTTTCATTTTAACGTTTTCGTTTCCAATCTCAGACTAGAATCCCTGCATGTTCTTAGTACTAGAACTATTTTATGAATTACACAAGGGATAAGTTGCCTAATCAAGACACCAGTATTATCATATGAGATGTACTTTGTATATTTTATATTGATTGTAGTATGTTTCTTAGAATGAAGATAGTTTGTTTACACATGTTTCTGGCTACTGAAAGAACTATGCAAACTACATTCCTCCTCCTTCTCTGACAATGCCAAAATCTTACATTAAACAGCAGACAGATTATGCGCTAACAAGTGAATTGTCGGAACTCAAAGTGAATTCTTAGTGAATTTTCAATTTCAAGAGTAGATACAGATCACAGGGCAGGGGTAGGCAACCTTCGGCACTCCAAATGTTGTGGACTACATCCCCCATAATGCTCTTACACCCATAATGCTGGCAAATGTAGTCCGGAAATTTATATTTAGGGTTTTTCACTGAACACAGAATTTTAGCAAATTAAATAAAAATGGCAAAATGTAAGCTAAACCAGCTGATTTGGAGAAAAAAAAAAGCTCTCAAACTAGCTATTTTCACATAAATTCCTCCATTTAGATTTAATTAGTTAACATGATATTCAGTTAAATACTCTGTGCTCACTTTGAATTCTCAACAATTCCAACTTTACAGCGTTATTCAATGAACTCCAAATTGCAGCAAACAGATATCTGACTGGCAACATTTAAAGTTTAGGTAACATTTTGGCAAAATTACCCAGTCCCGCTATGTGTGCCCAAATATTGCAATCTGCGCTTTAATTCACTGCAATTTGGAGTTTAGTGAATACGACCCCTTTATTGAATAACCCTGTATTATGTTATCCCAATCATTGTAATAAACAGATAAAATATATATATATAATCGTGACAATTGTTACAGCCACATACCTGCCATGGTGCTGGGTACAGTGTAAGTAACACTGAACATCCATTCTGCAGGCTATATAAAGGCTGATCTCTATGAGATAATGAAAATACTACTCTACTCCCAGATCAGTCACTTTCCTTCTCCCTTAGCTCTGGGACTTCCCCATTTTCAGTTTTTCTTTTCCGATCTCAGACTAGAATCCCTGCATGTTCTCAGTACTAGAACTATTTTATAAATTACACATGGGATAAGATGCCTTCATCAGGACACCAGTATTATCATATGAGATGTACTTTGTATATTTTATATTGATTGTAGTATGTTTATTAGAATGAAGATAGTTTGTTTACACTTGTTTCGAGCTACTGAAAGAGCTATGCAAACTACATTCCTCCTTCTACTCCGACAATGCATGGATCTAAGATTAAACTGAAGACAGATCATGCGCTAACGCGCAAATTGTCAGAATTCAAAGTGGATTCATAGTGAATTTCAAAAGTAGATATACATTATAGGGTCTTTCCACTAAACAGTGATTTAATATGAAATGACAGCTAATTGGCAAACAGGAATCTCAAATAAGTGGAAAAAGGAAATTTAACAATTGTATGTAATGTTTGACCCTTAAAATATTATATATATAAATATATATATTTATATTTTTTATTTAAATTTTTGAATGTAATTGTTAATGTTTTATAGGTCAAAAATGTAAAATTTTACTCATGTACGGGTTCTCGTAAAAGTTTGGATTCAGTTAGGAATTCAAAGTGAATTTAACAATTTGCATCAAAATAGCCCAATTGGAAAAAATTGTGCTACATGTATATAGAAGATACGTGCTTTGTGTATATGGGATTATAATGCTGCATATGTACAGAATGCATGCTGAATTTGTATAGAATGTATATGCTAAATGTATATTGAATTTACATCCTGCATCTATACAGAATGTATATGCTGCATGTGTACAGAATATGTATAGAATGTATATGATATAGACAGAATACCAAATTAGGGAGCTATCTAATAAACAGTTGAAAGCCATTTTTCTTATATTTGCTCTATCGGTTGTTTAGTAAATAAGTCTCTAAATTTGGTTCCCTTTAATTATTACAATTCTATGTCCAGATGCCAAGTTAGGGAGCTATCTACTAAACAACTGAAAGTTCAAAATTAAAATTGCTGTTTCAGTTGCTTAATACAGAAGTCCTTAACTTGCTATTCCTATGAAAATGAATTTATCCAAAATAGTTTGTTTCGACTCTTTCAGAATTAGTTTTCGGCACATTTTGATTTTTAAAGAATTCAGAAATTCTGATACTTTGGAATTAATGAAATTTAATTCACAACAAAACAAACTGCACATGTTTAGTTAATACGGCAGACTAAAAATAACTCAGAATGGGATTTATGCAACATGATATGGTCTAAGGTTGGACTTAGGATTCTAGGGGCTCCGGTCTATATACGTGGGAGGCACCATAAATATTACCCTTGGGTTGATATCCAGGGTCTTTTGCCACCTAGCAAAGTTCCTGACATAAAACTTACATTAGAACTGAAGTTCTATTTACTAACGTGAATTGCCAGGCATTCAAAGTAAATACATTGGAAAATATACCAACTGCAAAAAAATGTAAGTCTGCTATATTTTTGGTTTGACTATATTTTGACCAAAAATTTTAAATTTACTCTGAATTCCTGATCCACACTTAAATACACAGCACTATAATTGTTTTAATTTTATAAAAATGTTTTCAATTCAGTGTTTTGCAAACAAACCATCGCATTAAATTTCAAAGGCTAGATTACAGATTGTTTAAATTAAATAGTGCTTCGTGATTAAATGAAAACCAACTTACAAACCAAAGTACTGAATAAATAAAAGAAAAATTACTCAGAAACTATTTTATATAAAATGTGACCTTTTATAAAAAATTTAAAAAACATTTTTTACAAAATATTATATTTTGCACACACAGAGTTTCTCATAACAGTGTGAATTAAGGTAAGAATTCAAAGCAAATCTAAAATTTTAATCTTAAAAAGTTAGGGTTATTCGCGGAACACAGAATTTTATCAAATTACATTTGAATTGCTAGATCTAAACTAAAATAGCTGATTTAGAAAATCTCCGTAATTTAGTTATAGCTATTTGAATTCACTAAATAATTCCCTACAATTCACATGTATACAGAATTATTCGATAAGCTCCAAACTGTAGAAAATTGTGTAATAAACAGATAAAAAATATAAATAGACTGTAAGCTCGTTTGAGCAGGGTCCTCTTCAATCTATCATTCCTGTAAGTTTTCTTGTAATTGTCCTATTTATAGTTAAATCCCCCCTCTCATAATATTGTAAAGCGCTACGGAATCTGTAGGCGCAATATAGTGGCAAGATTAAAATAATAATAAATATGCATAAGAATTGGTAAGATCACCTACCTGCCATGATGCTGGTTGCAGGATAAGTAACAGTGAGCACCCATGCTGCAGATTATATAGAGGCGATGAAATATGGTCTATGATAAAAAGAAAATACTTTTGTGATTTGATATTAGGGAGACCTTTCCCCTACGTTAGCTTCAGGACTTCCCCAGTTTCACTTTCTCTTTTCAGATCTCTGGACACATGAACTCCAAATGTTAAGCTCTCCTTGATAATTCAAATCAATTAACCATTAACCCCTTCTCTACACAAACCTCCTAGTCTAGTCTAAATGTTGCAAGTGTGTTTGCCTGTC